CCTCCCCTCCCCCCCCACCCCCCCCCCCCCCCCCCCCCCTGCCTCTGTCTCTCTAACCCACCTCCCAGTCTGTGAGAATAACCAACCTTTTATATTTATTACTCAACTGAAACCTTTTTCAGTTTAAATTCACCACTTGCTCTTTTAAATGCGTGAATAAGCAACCTACTTTGCACTGCACTGAGATGCAACATTGCTGAAGCACATTGCCAAATAAATAAATAAATAAATAATAAACTTTAGAATGAATTTTCCTACGTTCCGTTTGAGTAAGACTCTTGGAATAAAAACGGTACTTAAAGTAAACAAACAAACAAAAGCTTTCCAACTATAGCCTAGGCCACCACAGAAACAACAGAAACACCAAAAAGGTTATTGACTAATAGCCAGGAAACGAAATGGAAACATTGGCTAGAGTCAATGCAAACTAGCAGCTCATAAAAAACCCAGACTTCCATTATTACTGGGTTATTGTGGATATTAAGGAGATGCTGACACACATGTCTGTGATACATAAAGTCATTACGAACCCATGGCACGCGCTTTCATTTCCATAGGGAATATTTGTGCAAATGAAGAACGGCGATTTTTCGAGGCCAGGGGAAAAAGAGACAGTCCAGGTTGAGCAACTCACCCCTGCTGGAAGTGAACAGAACAGGGTCGCTCCTCATCGTGAAGCCAAACTCATCTAATCAGCACGCACACAAGACCAGGCGCGTGCCTAGCGGATCCCCGGCAGTGGTAAAATCCACACACACTTACAAGGAGACTTCGTGGCGTTTTTGACTCCTGGTTCAACCTGCCCTTATTCCTCGTCTGCCGAACCGGCCACCGAACGGTCTTCTTTTCAAACTTTTCCCGAGCCTTTTCCCTCCTCCTTCCTCTCCTTTCGACCCTCCTCCCCTCTCTGCTTGGGCAAATGTCTCTCCACCCCACCCGCCCTCTCTCCCGCAATCTGCCCGCCTATACAATCGGAAAACACGCATCCTGTCGGAATTTCGGATTTATCACTTTTAAAGGGACAGAGGCGCAGCAGGCTATTGGATTAAAATGGATTGGGTTGGATAAACGTATTGCAATGTTTTATAACTGCTCAGATTCAACTTAAGTGTGAATTTCAACATAAAAATATAGTTTTTGTTTTCATTTATAATTGTCAGTATTTATGTTTATCATCAACTAGTCACCTCTATCAAAAATAACAGACAAGTTTATGATGAAGGCTATGTAATTTATATTTAAGATTATGGGTATTTTATCATTTGAATTAATGTTAAAATGGTAATAGAAAAAAATATGAGCTTAATATTAAGTGCTAAAAATAACAACTACAGAAGAGAATGCATGGTCCACTGTGTAGCAGATCATGAACACACAAGTCTTACAGTGAGATTTACAGGAGTCCACATGAAGGCATAATTTTCCTTCTCTTCTTATGCTTTCCCTCCTCCTCTCTGTCTGCAGGGTTAGTCTGGCAAAAGCAGCTCTCCCTTTGTTTCTGTTTTGATCTTAAATATACTTTAACTATACTTTATTGTCTAATAAGGGAAATTTGCTTTGCCGGCAGTGTTCCACAAGCACATGATGAAACACGGTAACAACAAGAAACCATAGTCTGCTATAACACACACACACACATACACACATAATGTTATGCCCAGTCTACAACAAGATGGGCTGACACTGACCATCAGGAGCACAGATGGCTCTTATGTTAACATTTTTGACATATTGGACTGAACCATATTCATTAAATATAGTAGCTAGCTAGTTTTGGTTTTTACTACTGGCTTAAAACACTTATTTTTAACTGCTACCTCAAATTGTCTGTGAAGGAGAGACAACACAGTCTGCTACGCTCTTTGTGCAACTCACAGGTTCACAGTTGTCCACCTTTTTTGAAAACAAGCAGCCAATATTACACTCTTTTCCTGGTCCAACATGCAGTCTGTCATATACCTTGTTCAAGAACTTAATACTCCATAATCGTGTAATCTAACATTGTGACCACTGTATCAGACAAACAAATCATGTATTCTGAACCAGGCATTAGGAAGCCCAGCAAGAGGAGATTCTGCAAAATGACGTCAGAGGATGGGACGCCACTGCCACTGCTTCAGGAGGGTAGCAGATAAGAACAGCCCTAAGCACTATAAGAATAGTCCTAACTATGTTCACTTACCCAAAGAGTGCTGTGTGAAGCTTCTCAATGTTAGTATGTAATATGAAGCCATGGAAGTGCTTTAGTTACATCTGTTTATGTTCAGTCATTTAGCCTTGCTAACATTGTGTGATGCGGCTGATGTGTTATCATAATGAGTTCATTCTTGTTTCCCTTTGATACTAAATATAGGATAGCTCCATCAAGTGATACTGTTCAGTAATGATGAGCAATTTAATACTGATGGTAATTTTGAGGCAGATAGATTGTACTGATATGTACTGGCCTGGAATCAATCTGTAGGGCAGGACAACATTTATTCATAGCTCAAATGTGTCCCCTTGTGACATTGGTTCTATAATAATGTCAGTGCTCAGGGTCTAAATTTCATAATGTTGTGCTACAAGTTTAATGTAGTACACAGATTCTGTTTTCTCATTTATTATTGTTTCCATATACCACACGATATAACAGAGACCCCCCTCTACAATCTTCCAAGTAAGAAGCCTTCCTGCTATTATTCTGACCTGGCTATCTGAGTAAAGGTACAGATTGGAATTTGAGTTCTGACTCAGGTGCTTTGACTGACACACTGCTGTGAATGCAATTACACCCTGTACACACATATTTATAGTACAATGATAAATACTGAGACCTGAGAAGATGGAGGAGCATTCACAATGCAGAACATGATATAGATTCAGGGTTTTAAAAATGTGAAAAAATGACTTGTTCACCACATGCCAACACCTCCAGTCCATATTTTATCAGAATCAGAATCACCTTTCTTGGCCAGGAGTGCCGGATACACGAGGAATTTGGCTCTGGTACAGCGGCTCTCAATGTGTACACACATGTCAACAAGCAAGGGAATGTGCATTAGGAAAGAGATAATAAAGAAAATAAGAGTAGAGTACTTATAAACAGAGATGTGTACATAGTATATACAAACAAAGTCTGGAATCAGCAATCTATATGTACAATGTATATTTACAGGTACACTGTATTGCACTGCATTGTCCAGACATACTGTCGTGGGTCAGGTGTTCATCCGAGTGATGGCTCGGGGAGGCTTAAAGACTAAAGTTTTAGCTCTAACAGACCTCATTAAACTAATGTTCACTGAGGTAACTGCACTAAGGCTTTAACCTGTGACACCCTCACAATTACTTTCTTGTAATATTGATGAGTTACACATGGGTCCTTTGAAAATAAAAATTCAAAAAAAAAAAACTGCAACGTTGCAAGAGTTTGGTCTGTCAACAAGAATTCCTGTAGTTTCTTATTAGTCATAACCAACTTTAATTACACTTTGAAACTAACTAATTAACCTAATTAAATCCACTTAGAGAAGGGAAGTAAAGAAACATTTTAGAGAGAGAAAGAGGCTAACTTCACTAATTACATCCCATTACCATAAACTACCGATTCCCCCCGTCCCCAGGGGCAAACAAGAGCCAGTCTGAGCTCAATATCCCATCTGCCACCAGGGCAGGAGGTGGAGGAAGTTAGGAGGAGGGGTGCCAGACTGAGGCTACCCAATGCTGTGTTTTTCATTTATTTCTTCAGAGGCACACTTTTTCAGTGAGGAACATGAGTCTTAGGGAGGAAACAGTGTGAAGAGAAAGAATAATGTCCTGGCTCACCTTTCAGTTCCACCAATTCATGGAGAACCACAAAATGGCAGATGCTGTATCTCCCTCAAGGATAAAGGTTCCTGTAACTGACCTAGTCCTGGAGGGAATGTGTGTGTAGTGCTCAGTAGGGAATATACTGAAACTGTCATTTAGTTTATTGTGCTATGTATAGTTTATAACATGTTAATCATGGATAAAACATTAACAGTCCTATTGAGAGCCAGCAACTGTATGACTCTAACACAAACACCAACGTCTCTGAATATTCTTTCATATTTCATTGTTTTGGTAGAAATATCCAGAAACAAATTACACAAGGTCTCCCCATCACTTTGTAACTCTGTTGACAAAGAGATTTTGTCAGAATCCCACCAAAATATCTGGCTATCCATGACCTGGACCTAACTGTGAGGATCAAGCTTGTAACTTTTTACAGCATCTGACATTAACTGTGAGTAGAGGCAATTTATTGTCTTTTTTAGTCTCTATATATCTGTAAATATTATTAATATAAAAATGACCAACCTTATGCTTTAAACTAAAACAATCAGCTAAAACAGGCTAAAAATAGAGCTGAGGGGAACTGTAGACTTGGGTGATAATTCTTCATGAGTTTGTCATTATGAGTGGCACCTTTCACTTTAGTCATTTGATCTACAGCAATAAAGTTATGTATTGTTAATTCATCGTCACTTTGGCTCACAGTGTGGCAGGGAAGATTTTCTCAGCAACAAAGAGCCTTGAGTTCAGCACAACGTGCAGCCAGTGGCCACACACATACACACAAAGATTGCAGTCAGAGGCAATTTCTTCAGACGTGCATGTCCAAACAAATGGCTGGCTAATCTAAACCCGAAAACCCTTTAGATTTTATCTTTGATAAAACTAATTTTATCTGTCTGAGTGTAACAAGGCCAGAAAAACACCACTGAGCTTAAAACATAAGTCAGGTTTGTAGTGTTTTATGGGAAGTAGAAGGTGGCTCTCTTCATTGTGGTGCACTCAGAGGTGGTATGCAGGCCAGATGAGCCTAACATCAATTAATTGCAGTGGAGAAATCCAGTGGGAGGATTTCCAATGGAGCTATGAGACTCTTATCAGGGTGAGATATGATGATGGAGAGGGAGTGTGTGGCAAGCACACATGTGTTGAAATGATGAGCAATGAAAAGATGGATGAAATATAAAAAAGCATGTGTTCTAGCTCTCAATATTTCTTAGCTCAAGCCTGGACTCAAACACTTTTCTTTGGTGTAATGTGTGTGGGTGTTAGCTCAGTGAAATCTCATACTGATAGATGTTGGCTTAGCTCTGCTGTGTTGAGTCAACAGTGACATCAGTGTTTGGCCCCCTGCCTGAATTAAATCTAACAGAGAGTGAGATACTTTAATAACCTGGACCCTTTCCTGCATCGTTCAACCATCAACGTGTCATGTTTTTCAGGCACCCCACTGAGAAGACACACACACACTGTAACTAAAGCTGGCTATGAAACATCCATTAATGTCACCCTATCCATATAAAGACTTGTTTTGTGTACCTTCATTCAAAGTTGGATATTTTAAGCATGTTTACACCTTATAAAGAACCTGCCAATAGGTCAATAGAATGAAGGCAGTGATGGTGTGAATTAAGGCAAAGACAACTTAGTTTTAGTTGAAAATGTTGTAAATAAAACCTATGCATCCTGAGGTTTTCTAAGGCCACATCATGAATTTACATTGACAAGAAGTAAATGGAGAGAAACCTGAGGTAAAAACAGAATGAACCAGAAATGTATCCGTCAGAAGCTGAGCTGTCAAAAGCGTAGATAAAACTGACTGTCACTGCTCTTTGCCTATCTATTATCAGTCCTCTATGCTATCTGCATGGGGAAGCAGAGAGAAACCAAAAACATTGGACCAAAGTAGATAAAAGTAGGACCAATTCAGTCTGATTGCATTTGTTTCAAGAAGGAAAACCCACTCACCTACACTGAGCCAGACAGCAGTGCACAGCATTACAGGATATCTCATATTCCTCCACCTGAACCTCATCATGGTTTGGGGACGGAGGGGGAGCACTCTGTGCATACGCTAGGCAGCTTGTTTT